ATTGTGTCAATGATTTATTGTCACTGTGAACCTTTGACCTTCTTCATAGTGGTTTTGCTCTAGATGTTACTGCTCTGCAACTCCATGGAGAACATAGTTTCTCTTTATTAAGACCTGAATCGTCTCTGTGGCCTTCATAAGCATCTGAACATCATCATTGTTATTTATTGAATTTGTATACCAACCTAGAACCAAGAGGGAGGGAGGGAGGAAAAGGAAGGTGGGGAAGCACCGCCAGAGCCACATGTGCTGCCGATAATGCTTCGCTGCAAGGACAGGAGGATGAGGCAACACAGCAGAGCCAGGGGCCCAGGGCAGGCACGTGCCCGAGGGGGGCGGGGCATGGAGGGTGCCCTCCCACGCACCCCAGTTCAGGGTAGGAGGGGGCGGGGAAGCTGTGGCTCACTCTCCTCCTGCTCTCCACAGCCGGGTCAGACATGCCCCACAACAGAGCTGCTGCGGCCAGGTGCGTCTCGCCACGGCTGAGGAGGGCTGCTCTCTGCCGCTGGGTCAGAAGAGCTGCTGCCGTCGGGCACAAGGTGTGCCACCCACTCACCTGCCATTTTGTCACCCACCCACCCCTCAGTCGTGACATCTGGGGAGGGCCACACCCACCGCACCCCCTTCCTATGCCTCTGAGCAGAGCTCCTGGATTTGCATTTCTCTGCCTTATCTCTGCTCCCAGGTTGGTGCTGGTTTGCAAGGAGAGACTCCCTAGATTCGATGCTGGCCAGTGAAGGGACTGGCTGCTTTCCAGTCCACTAGGGGGCGCAACACCTGCCCTGACCCAGGCGCTGGCAACCCATGCTGTGCCCCTGGTGGTGGGCTCTACGCTCAGTGCTTCCCATGTGCCAAAGACAGAGCCTGAAAAGTGATTTCTGTAGCAGTTCCAGGGCACCCAACAATCAGCTGGTTGTCAGAAGCTTGGGAAGCACTGAGAAAGGGGCTTTGCAATTGCTGCCAATCAGGTGTGCCACACCCTTGCCTTTCCACACTTGATGTTGTACATGGTTAGATGGGGGAGCGTGGCTTGCACAAAACAGCCTCAAAGCCCAATCTGGCCCATGGGCCACAGGATCCTCGCTCCCCTGCGTTTCACCCAGACTCCCCCTCCAGCCCCTCTAGGAGATGCTGGGCTTGAATCTGGGACGACTGCATGTCATGCACATGCCCTGCCCCAGAGCTGCCATCTCTCTCCCATCAGGTGGCATCTAGGGCTGAAGGAGAAATTTGTTTGTTCCCAATAGCTGACTTATTTTCCCCACCCTAGACTTATATGTGAATTGGAAAGCAGCTATCAACCAAATTTCATAGTTCTCTGCATTTTATTAGGAGTTTCAGTTAAAGGAAAAATGCACAAAATAAAGTGTTATTTTACAAAATCATTTGTATAAAATTGTGCATTTTAGGTGAAATGCATTGGAAAGCATATCAAATTTGTGCATTTAGAGGAATTAAAAAATGTGCATAATTCAAACGTGATTTGTGTATGTTTTAAAAATTCACAAAATTGGGATATAACAAAAGTATGTTTCATATGAGGAGAGAGTTATTTTCCATAGCAGGACTCAGGAGTGATAAGATCCAATAGCTTTATCCTCTACAAATTTGTCTAATCCTTTTCTAAAACTGTCCAAATTGGTTAAAGATCTTCAACATGTCAGTGGGAGAGGTCTGAGCACACGCTTAACTCCAAAATTATGTAAGTGAAAGAAAACCCTTCATTTAATCAGCAGTCCCCCCAAAGGGCTTGCCGGGCAGATGTCTTGGCTGACCAGCATCTTTTCAGAAAAGCTTCAGGCAGCTTTATGAGGTCCTGGGAGAGGCAGCAGGTGAAGCTTCCTCTTACATTGCTTGTCTTGGAATCTGATGGTTGTAAAAAACAACTTGTGGTGAGAAGATACACTAAGGCACCGAGACGGGGTCAAAAAGATCGTCTCTCTAAATTAGAAATAAGTGCCAGAGGGCAAGAGAATGGGAAAGGAAGGAAATGTTTGAAGGAAATGCCTAAAGGAACTGTAATAGGGGATTGAGTGGGAGATGGAAACCGAAAAAGCTAACTTACTAAGAACCCGCACAAGAAGAAAAACGACAAGCATTTGCCTTCCTCTTTTATAGACTTCTGCAAGTCTTGCCCCTTGTTACTGGATTGAAAGGCTGTGTATTGAAAGAATTCCTATCAGAATGCTTGACACTTCTACTAAGATGTGTTTGAGACTGTGCAATCTCCCTTTCTCTGCTCTCTTGCTTTCTGCTTCCTAATAACACCCTACTCTAGCAATTAGGTGAAAATGTAAGCTAAAATGTTTCTGAATTAATTACAAATAAATATATGACAGGTGTTTCAAGTGAACATTTGGCAAACTATCTTATAAGAGAAACACAATACTTAATAATCAAGAAAATAAATTTATTGAGAGGTGGGCTCTGTTTTTATATTTCTGGAATGACAAAGTAAATGACAACATTTTTCCTTTTCATTTACTTATGGTATTATAGAGTTTTTGTTATGTTGTCTCTCTCTGTTCTTATATGTCATTCTCGGGGGTTTTTTCTTTTCTTTTTTTCTTTCCCTTGGGGTTTTTTTTTGCACAAGAAGCAAAGGTGTTTGATGTATAGTGGCTTTTGCTGCATATTGTTACGAAACAATTTCAATTTTTAAAAAAATTAAAAAGTAACAAGCGAACATTTGAAAATGTGGGATTTGTTCTGCTAATTAATAATGAAATGAATGGGCTCCATTTGTTGTATTTTTTTATTGTTATTACAAAATGAATGCACACACATGCACAGCCTGCCAACTGGCAATGCTATAATAAGCAGCGCAACTGCTTTTCCTGACGGAAGTGACCAAGGTTCATGATCGGGGGGGGGGCGTCTTTTGCTGAGGTCAACAGCTGAAATACGACAATGGCTAAAGCAAGGAGGGTTGCAGAAATGCCATTTAGCAAAGACCTGTTTGGCTGGCTCCTTGAGAGGTAAGAGGTGCTAAACCTACCAGAGAGGTGTAGCAAAATTCCAGTGGTCCGGGATTGATGTAACCATGTAAAAATCAAGCAGAACAAAATGTCTAGCAATGGTTCTGAACATCTTTGTTATGTTAGCACTTTTCATTCAGTACAGTATTGCCCCTCTTTGTAAGGCTATTCAGACTTTATTGAAGAAGTCTCCTCAACCGTTTCATGGTGATGAATGAGTCGAGCTGGGGGAGAGCATCTACTGTACTGTGAAATTAACTCCATCTTCGCCAAATTCCAGCACAGAAGTCAACAAGGCAAAACAGACTCTCAGAATTCCATCACTGCAAAACACTAGAACAGCCATATAACATTTTCCCTTCACTTTTAAGACTTGCTTTAGAAAATCTATATATTCATGTTTCTCCCGGCTTCGAAAGCAGCAAGACTGTACTAACCTCAGCAAAAGACACACACACACCCGATCATGAAGCTACTAATCGCTGGATGGTACTGTCCCACTGTGGGTTAAACCACAGAGCCTAGGGCTTGCCGATCAGAAGGTTGGCGGTTCGAATCCCCGTGATGGGGTGAGCTCCCATTCCTCGGTCCCTGCTCCTGCCAACCTAGCAGTTTGAAAGCACGTCAAAGTGCAAGTAGATAAATAGGTACCGCTCCGGCGGGAAGGTAAACAGCGTTTCTGTGAACTGCTCTGGTTCGCCAGAAGCGGCTTAGTCCTGCTGGCCACATGACCCGGCAGCTGTATGCCGGCTCCCTCGGCCAATAAAGCGAGATGAGCGCCGCAACCCCAGAGTCGGGCACGACTGGACCTAATGGTCAGGGGTCCCTTTACCTTTACTGTCCCACTATTGCCTAAAAAGCATGTTTCTAGGATGGCTGTAGTACACTTTCTAGGAAAAGGTGGGTAAAAAAATAAACTGTACAGTAACTGGAAGATCTCAAGGCTCTATCACCTGTAAGCATCCTAAGAATTTTGAGTTCCATGTCCTGGATGGGCTGGATGCCAAGGAGTGGTGGGAGGCACCAGCTGGGAAACCCCCAGGGAACCCCCAGGGGAAGAAGGCTCAGAGTCTGAGGATTGGTAGTAGTACAACAATGAGTGGTGAGAGGGAGAGGACTGGGAGGAGGAGGTGTTGGAAGCTCAAAGAGGTCACAGAGCTTAGTAAGCAGGAAGAGGCTGTGGCAGACTCCGAGGCAGAAGCTGAAGAAGAGTGAGGCCAAGAGGCAGAGATGAGGCAGGCTGCCGAAGAAGCCAGGGAATCTCCTGCTCCTGTTGTGATCAGCTCCCCTCCCCTGTGGTCTCCCAGAACCTGAAGAGGTATGAAGAGGGTGAAGCAAAGACAGACAGGATGAAGGAGCCTCAGATTACTTGGGAAGCATAGATGCCCGAGCACCCACAAAATTCCCCATGAAGGGGCCTGGCACCCACAAATTTCAGTCCCAGGGCCATGCACACTGCATGGCACCCATGGTCATGGGGCCAAATTGACACTCCTGTTGGGAAGGAACAGAGTTCTGGGAATGCAGGGACCTTCAGTTCTCACAACTGCCTCATTGAGGCGAGACCTGCTAGGAAGAGTTGCTGTGATCACTAGGCCTGAGCTGCTTTGTTTCTTTGAATAAAGAGTTAACTTTACTGACGCCTGGAGAGTTATTGCTGACCTGTTCCTGATACCTGCCCTGACATTTCATTAAGAACATAAGGTTCACAGTGAGCAAAGTCCTCTGATTTCAGTGGGACTTTCTTCTATGTAACTGTGCATAGGACTATAGCCTACTTTTTCCATTACACGGACCCAGGTTCTCCATGTAGCTTGAGCAATGGAACCTCATGATCTGGGTGATCCAACGATTCATCCTTATAACATAATGCTTAAGCTTGTGAAATGGCATCTCTGGGGACTCCTTTGTGTACCTGCTTTGAAATACCTAACCCTCAATTCACGCAGAGAAGAATACAGCATGCCAGCATTCTTACCTTTGTTACACTGTAGAATCTAACAATATTTAACTGGTGAAGTCATTTTGGTTTCCAAACCTGTGTCACAAATATGCTTGGGAACTTAGGGAAGAAAAGAAAGAAAGAAAGAAACAATGCTCTTATTCATGACATCAGATCCAGCTCCATGGAAACATGTTGTGATGACAAAAACACACAGAGAGAGATTGCAAGGTCATAAGTCACACTCAAAAGAAGAGGCAAGAGAGAAACTGTAAGTTTAATGAATAACATGTATCAGCCTCAAAAGGGAAGGTGGAAAGCAAAGAGCAACAAAGCACCTGAAGTTAAATACCCTCCAAAGTACTTCAGATCCATTTCATCTTCAAGTGAAGTAGCTCTTCAAGAGTAGAAAGTTCCAGGGGGCTCACTTTGCAAGAAATCGAGGGAAATCACATATATTGCCACTGAAAAGGAAAGATTCCACAATGGATCTGTCAGGAATAGCAAGGATCTTTCCTCTCCTTGCTAGGAAGTTGCCAGCTTTTTTCTAGAAAGTAGGGATGGTGTGATTATTCATTATTTTCCCCTCCCAATGTGAAACATTAAATATTCTCTATTGCACATGACTGTCATGAACAGGCAGGCAGGTTGAGAATTGTGAAGAATCATTTAGGTTTAGGTTTGGAGGATGCTGAAAAATGCTATTCTATTTGGTGGGATTTTATCATAAATACAATAAACACACAGGGTACAATGTGAAATTTGGTTTTCCTAATGGTCTTAAGTATTCAACTGATTTAAGTGCTGATTTTTTGTATTTGTATATCTATTATTTTTATTGCGTTGTTTCGTATGACTGGCCCAGTTGTCACCAGGGCACCAGAAGGCCAGAGGTAAGGAGACAGCTGGCAGTGGCAGCAGGGGGCGAGGGCTGGGCACCCCCAGAAAAGAAATTGAGGGTGCCCAGGTCCCTCGGGCCCCCTAGAGTTTGTGCCCTCCCAAAGGAGAAGTGCCAGGGCTGCATTTTTTGACATTTTAGGAAAGTTGTTAGAAATCTTTCTCTTTCACCAGGCCTTATCCTAGGCTCCTGGGATTCCAGCACTGTAGACTTGGCTTCCTGCATTTACCATTATTGTGTTTTATGGATTTAAATGTTGATGTTTAATTGATTTCCATTCCTGTAATTTATTGTTGTAAATGGCTTTTTGAAACATAGGGCCCTGCAAAAAAAACACACACACACAAAAAAAACACCCAGCCCCACCTCCTTAATTTCACCAGGGGCCATTTACTGACACTCCAGAACCAAGATGCCCCAAATTATAGCCTTCCTTCAGACCTAAGTGGCCCCTTAATTTGACTGATCTTCTGTTCCTACAGCCTCTGTTTCCATTGTGTTGTCATCCAGCCAAAATGCCTCCTGTTAATGGTTCTGTGCTCCAACTGTTCTCTTTTACAAGGGAGAGTCTCTGTTTTTGGTTACTGGTAAATCATTGTTCATATTTTGTTCCTATTTTTGCTTCAGGTAAGAGTTGTTGTTGTTTTTACCTAAGCACCCTCAAGGTGATTCACTTTCAAAATTTTACCAAAAATAGCCAGCCAGCAGTTTTTCACCGGTGTATGTAATAACAAACAGACGCTGAATGGAAAGGCTAGTTTTGTTCAAATGCTTTTTGCTTTGCTCAGTATCCTTCAAATGTTTACCCAAAATTTGTCTCAAAATTTCATTTTTGTATACCTTTAGAAACACGACTGAGTCACAGGGCATGTGCAATTTTGCGACCCACCAAGCCAAAGGCAGCCCACCACATCCTCAGCATTTCTCAGTATCTAGTGAAGTCTGTGACTGAATGCCTCAATAAATTTGCTATGATTTAAGGCACTGCGAGATTCTTTGAATCCCTTCTCTTTTGGCTGGCTGCCTAGAGCTTCAAAAATAGGGTGGAGGTGGGGACAAAGGGTTGCTTACCACCTGACTGTCTGCAGTTCAGGGCTGGTGGTCTGTATTTTGCCTGGCGAGTCCCAGGCTGTGCACACTTGGTTTGGAGAGTCGAAGGCTTCCATCAGCGTCACACGTGGTAGCAGGGGCTGCGGAGTCCTTACCCCAGGGCTTGTCATGTGCTTGTTCATAAGAAAAGAATCACAGGGTCATGGTGCTTTAATCGGTTGGGTTCTGCTTTTCCTCTTTCTTCCTGCGCGTGAAAGACATAACAGGGAACTACCAGAGCAGAAGTAAGATGTGTTTTGTTAGTTGTCTGAAGCCCTGGGGCCCGGAACCGGATAAGTCCTGATATTATGCCTGGATTGAGCAAAAAATAAATCCATTTTGTTTCCTACAAACATTTAGCCATTAAAAAAAAATATGACATAGAAAAACAGGCCTCACTGTCTGCATGCCTTCTTGTAAAGCTTGCATTGTGGAAGTGTCAGAAGCATTAGCTCATTTGGCATACATTTTGCAAGCTAATGCTTCTCCTTTAATTCTCCCTGGGGACAACATGTCTGCTTTCCAAATAAAAAGAAAAAAACAGGCTGAAGAAGGTGAAGGGGTGTTGCCACAGAACCTGCTGCTTCTCTAATGATATATATGATACATACCTACTCTAATCCAGTGCACTAAGAAACCTTAGGGTGTGCTTATAAGGTCCTTCAACATTCTTTGGGTGCATCTGAAAAACAATCCTATGTTGTAAAAGCTGCTATACAAAATATGCAGAACTGTGTGTTAGAATGCTGGGCAACACAACTTCAGATTAAAGATGAGGTACAATTTTAGTGTAATGAAATATAATAAAAGAAACAAATGTAATAAACCAACATGCCTGGGAGTCACCGGGGATACTTTGCTGATGTGCTAGTTCACTACATGGGAGCAGGGAGACTTTTGTTTCAAAAGGGAGAGCATTAAAGAAAATGACACCCCATATTGGATCAGTAGTGGTGCAGTCGAAATGCCTACTTGGATGTCTTGAGAAGATGGTGATGATTTTATTAGCCCTCACAAGTCACCTAATCTTTTTCCTAAATGCCGTGGAGATACTGCAGTTAAGGCAGACCCTAATCCTAGACTCTCCATTTGCTTGGTGTGAGGGGAAAGGAAAGAGGGGAGTAAAGCACGGGAGCAGCTGCAAGTCCGTTGGCTGGCCTTCTCTTGGCCCTTGGTCCCTTGGACAGTGGCAGGGGCCAGAATGGGCCTCTCTCCTCTCAGCTCAACAGAGATCAGATAATATGCCGATTCACACTTCCCACCGGTATCCTTGCAAGCCCAGAGAAGCCCAGAGAAGTGTAGATTTCCATGAGGATGGTGACAAGCCTTTTCTTAAGTCTCTTCACAGAGTTCCTATCACCTTTCTGAGTCCAGCGCAACCTTGCTCAACCTTATGATTCTGTCCTTATTGCCACAATCACTCTGCTCATTACCTTCACTCCTCCAGTTCTACCACTCTCCTGTTGTCTTAAGCACCCCCTCATCCACCCCCACTTTCTTCCTCCTTTCCCCCCACTCCTGGCCAGAGAATGGCTGCAAGTTGCCACTTCTCTTCCTTCACAGTATCCATCTTTCCCATGAAGATTTTGACTGACATTTTCAGTTCTCGCTCAAAATGAAAACTAAGCCTATGCAAAATGAATTTAATTTGGATGGAGCCAATCTGTATTATTTTTGCTTCTCTCCCCTGCCCCCCCTCTGCCCCTCTTATCCCTCCCACTGTTGCAGTTTATCTTGTAAGCTCTTCAGGGCAGAGAGCTATCCTTTTGTACTTATTCTGTAAGGCACTATGTAAATTGATAACACTATAGAAAATTGATAGCTATAATAATAATGCTTTATACCTCAAATCGTCTGAATTCAAATATAGTTAAAACTCCATGCTCATTTTTAAGAGAAAGATAAATGCAACAGGAATTAAAGGGTAACGCAGATGCATTGCAAATTGCACACATCTGAGCAGACATCTTGATCTCAGTCTACCAGGATTCCCCCCCACTAATCCTTATGCTAAGCAGCATCAAAGCTGAAATCATTCCTAAAACTGGAAAGGAATCCCTTCCCTTTTAAACCAATCTGGTGAAAACACTGTCATTTACCTTTGCTGCTATCCTTGTCTTCCTTCCAGGCAGGTCACAGAAGGGAACCCTTTCAAAGGAGCCCCAGCATAGTAGCAGCCCAAACCTCAGATGGAAAGCGTTGATGTTTACTTCATTGAATGCAGCAGCACAATGTGGAAACCACACATTTTAAAAACCCAACTTTCGCTACAACTCTATAAATCAGCCCAGATGCATTTTGAAATGTTTCCCAAGGTCAGCTGAAAAAGTTTTCTGCAAGCCTAAGAAAACTCTTTGGATGAACACAGTCTTTGTTCTTCTGATTTTATAAGCACATTCTGTGAGCCAGGCATGCTTCACGTGGTTTCTGGTTTCACACTGAACATGTTACACAGCTCTAATGAGCTTCAGACTTTATGCACCAGGAATTGACATTGGTGTTCCTGTGCACTGTTCTAGGAATACGCCCAGATTGGCTTTCATAAGCATTTCACAAGCCATAATACACGAGTTCAGAAAGTTAACATACACCCAAGCCTTTGCAGGCCGTTTTTCACATTGCAGAGATCAAAAACAGGTTTTCCATCAGGTACACACACAATGGGGAGCAGCAGCCAATCCAAGTTCCCACATCTTTGGTTTAAAGATGTTTGGTGTATGAAGAACCTCTGAGAGTCCACCCATGGAAGCCACAGTTTGCTCTTGAGCACCATATATATATATATATTTGACTAGCATGATGCAAACCATCATTTTTTATTTGTATTCTCATACACTGCTCAGCCCTGTTCAGTTCTCATACATGGCTCCAGGCAGCTTTACTCTTAATATTCAGTAGCCTGTTATGTCAGATACACAACAAAAATAGGACCAATATCCTGCAAAAGCCAGTGGGAGGTGCTGCGGACCTCTGCACGGATACGCATTGTGTCCCCTCTGCTTCCAAGTCCGATTTTTTACTTGAATACTCTGTTGTGTTACTTAGACAACCACAAATCCGCTCGCAGCTTTCCATGGGAGAGTGCACCCAGCTGTCGGGTGAGCAGAACATCTGGCAGCACACAGATCCAGTTTCCAAGCAAGTGGGAGAAGCCTCTAGTGTTTCTTACCTTCTCCATAGCCTGGTCTGCACACGAATGGCTGACAATGGTGTGGTTGAGGACTAGTGGTAACCACAAAGAATGGCTGGCTAGAAAAATGAAGCCAACACTTGTGAGGCTCTGGGGTCACCCTTTATGAGGCTCTTCTGCTTCCACTTTACATGGTAACCAGAGCCATCTTTAGGCATTGTTCACACGAAGGGGGCAAATGTGGAGCAGCATAGCCTTCCCAGCCCTGCCATTGTCTTATTGGGGAATATCATTTGAAGCAGGGAGACTGTTCTGTGCACTGAGGATCCCTGTAGGATTTAGAACCCTAGGGGATCCAGGTTTGTTCTATTTAAATCATTCATTCATGTAAACCATTGATAGTCTGCTGTGTATTTCATCTAAGTCAGGGCTGGGTACATAATTCTTTCAAAAGCAATGGTTTCATTAAAAAACAGAACAGGTAATAATATTAATCTTCCAACAGCAGATGAATTCAACATCATTATTACAATATTCAGGACACAAAGGCCTGAGAAAAGAGCCAGGTTTTACCATTTAGGCTGGCAGCAGACGTCCTTCAGGGATTCTAGATCACAAGGAAAGTCTCCATATGTAGAGGAATCTCTGTGCTTTGGAGATTCCACAGGATGGGAGTGGAATGGAATAAGACTTGTGGCAGCTAAATGTACTACTCTGCAACTTCTTTCATCTTGCTTGCCTCCTTCACGCAAGTTACAACTTAGGATCTGCCAAGCTTTCATTGGGGTCTGATGAACAATCACAAAGTCTAAAAGGGAAGCACATGTCCACAGGGAACCAAGATCATGCCATGGAGGGCAAACGGCCCCCTGTTAATCTCTCCAGTGTGTGATACTCATCTCCTCTCAGACTTTACATCAGGGGTGGGGCAGCTAGAGAAATATCTAAGAAAATACATCTTTTGCACACCAGCAATGTTCTTTTTCAATCTCATGGTAATTTCCTGAAACTAGCCATATTTCTAGCACAGGAATAAAAGTCTAATCTCATCACCAGAGTGTTAAAACATAAAATTATTTCCACACCCACCAAAAATGACACAGAAAAGGTTCCCTATTTTCAGAGCATCAATGCAACACATACTAGACTTTATGGATTATGAGGGGGTTTTTTTCTTTTTTTAAGAAGGATTTCAGCACATTCCCTCTTTTAAAGGAACTCAAGTACATTGGAATTATTTGGCTATTTCAACCAGTCGAATCAGCCAATGATTTTGGCTGCATCTATCATTTTGGCCTGAAGGAGGCCTCTGTTTAAATCCCTCTAGCCCAGGATAGCACTGCCACTGGCATCCAGCCAGTCATTATGCCCACCCCCAAAAAATAAAAAAAATGTGGTTAGGAAAGCATAACATGACCAACCTTTCCCTGCTGGAAATTACAGTGGGTGTAGCTTTATAGCGTTTTACTGGTTAATTGAATGTTAAACTTACTACACTAAGCTATTTTACTGGCACTCCAATTTCTCCTTTCTGCGTGTCTATCCTGTACTAACAAACTATTATTAAGCCCTGGTTTCTGATCTGACAGATTAAACACCAAGAATGAGGAAATCGGATGGTATGCGAAATCAACAGGGGAAGTTGGCTGAACAAATATAGCTGTGTAATTATGCTTTTATTGAGTAGAGTTCATTCTTTTAAAAGTTCAATAATCAAAGGTCTAGAAGCTTAAATAAGAAAGGCTCAAGAGCAGCTGTCCAGGTATGCATGCTGTTCTTCCCCAGAATGATAAGAATGCGGTTTCTAATTTTATTTTATAATTATATTTACAGCATTTCCGCCCAGCTTGCAATAAATAAGTGAAAACAATTGAAATGCAAAATAAGACATAAAATCAAGAGCTTTGTGCACAAAAGGTACTAAGTTTGCTTTCCGAGTATCCCTAGGTGAAGCATAAAGCAGGCATCATCCAGCTGTGTTGGCCTGCTAGAACTTCCATCAGCCTCCTGCCATTGGTCAGGGTGGTGGCGGCTGATGGAAGCTGTAGTACATCAACATCTGTAATGCCACCGGTTACCTATCCCTGGTACAAAGCACAGAGATGTTAAGATATAGCAGAGAAAGATGGCAGGAGGAAAAGCGTGTGCTTCATGAGCAGAGTGGCAAAACAAATGCCAGAGGTGGTAGCTGCAGGTGCTTTGGGATTTTCCTCCTAGGGACTGGATTGCGACTGGTAGCCCCAGAATTCCTGGTGGGAATTTATTTTCATTTTCATAATAATGATAATAATGATAATTATTATTTATTTATACTCCGACCATCTGGCTGGGTTTCCCCAGCCACTCTTGGTGGCTTGAATATAAAAAAACACGATAAAACATGAAACATTTAAAACTTCCCTAAACAGGGCTGTCTTCAGATGTCTTCTAAAAGTCAGATAGTTGTTTATTTCCTTGACATCTGATGAGAGGGCATTCCACAGGGCAGGTGCCACTACCGAGAAGGCCCTCTGTCTGGTTCCCTGTAACCTCACTTCTCTCAGTGAGGGAACCGCCAGAAGGCCCTCAGAGCTGGACCTCAGTGTCCGGGCTGAACGATGGGGGTGGAGACGCTCCTTCAGGTATACAGGACCGAGGCTGTTTAGGGCTGTAAAGGTCAGCACCAACACTTTGAATTGTGCTCGGAAACATACTGGGAGCCAATGTAGGTCTTTCAGGACTGGTGTTATATGATCTCGGTGGCCACTCCCAGTCACCAGTCTAGCTGCCACATTCTGGATTAACTGCAGTTTCCAGGTCACCTTCAAAGGTAGCTCCACACAGAGCGCATTGCAGTAGTCCAAGCGGGAGATAACTAGAGCATGCACCACTCTGGCGAGACAGTCTGCAGGCAGGTAGGGTCTCAGGCTGTGTGCCAGATGGAGCTGGTAGACAGCTGCCCTAGACACAGAATTGACCTGCACCTCCATGGACAGATGTGAGTCCAAAATGACTCCCAGGCTGCGTACCTGGTCCTTCAGGGACACAGTTACCCCATTCAGAACCAGGGAGTCCTCCACACCTGCCCGCCCCCTGTCCCCCAAAAACAGTACTTCTGTCTTGTCAGGATTTAACCTCAATCAGTTAGCCGCCATCCATCCTCCAACCACCTCCAGACACAGGACCTTCGCTACCTTCGCCACCTCCACTGGTTCCAATTTAAAAGAGAGGTAGAGCTGGGTATCATCCGCATACTGATGAACACCCAGCCCAAACCCCTGATGATCTCTCCCAGCGGCTGCATGTAGATGTTAAAAAGCATGGGGAAGAGGACAGAACCCTGAGGCACCCCACAAGTGAGAGCCCAGGGGTCTGAACACTCATCCCCCACCACCACTTTCTGAACACGGCCCAGGAGGAAGGAGCGGAACCACTGTATAACAGTGCCCCCCAGCTCCCAGCCCCTCAAGACGGTCCAGAAGGATGTCAGGGTCAATGGTATCAAAGGCCGCTGAGAGATCCAGCAGAACTAGGAAACAGCTTTCACCTTTGTCCCTAGCCCACCGGAGATCATCGACCAGTGCAACCAAGGCAGTTTCAGTCCCATGATGAGGCCTGAATCCCAACTGGAAGCGATCCAAGTGGTCTGCATCCTCCAGGCATGTTTGGAGGTGTTCAGCAACCATCCGCTCAATCACCTTGCCCAAGAATGGAAGATTTGAGACTGGGTGATAGTTGGCCATATTGGCCGGGTCCAAATATGTTTTTTTTAAGAAGTGGTTTAATGACTGCCTCTTTCAGCAGGTCTGGGACGGCTTCCTCACAGAGGGAAGCATTCACCATCCCACAGAGCCCAGAGCCCAGCCCTTCCCGGCTTGCTTTTATTAGCCAGGGTGGGCAAGGATTAAGGAGACAGGTGGTTGGTTTCACTCATCCAAGCAGCTTTCCAAATCCTCAGAGATAACATATTGGAATTGATCCCATGCAACTTGACTAGACAGGACTCTAGAACCCTCCCGCCCTGGCCCTGCTCCCACGGTGGAGTCTACCTCTTTCCGAATCTGAGTGACCTTATCTGCAAAAAAAACTGTGCAAAATCATTGCAGGAGATCTTGATGTCCTTACCAGGCCCCAATGGCAAAGGTGGTTCTGTTAGATTGCGAATCACCTGAAAGAGTCTCCTGCTGCTGTTTTCTGCAGATGCAATAGAGGAGGTAAAGAAGGTCCTCTTCACAGTCGCTATTGCCACTTGGTAG